CATACCCAGACATGCATGCAAGCCTGTTTGCTTCTAAGTTGATTCTTATGTGCAGATTCCAAGTTCGCCTACTTAGTAAAATATGTCACACCAAAACTATTCTCTCACCCATGACTGGACACGCGCAAAGCAGTTAGATTTGAGTCCCCTCGTGTGCACAGTTCTAGCTGAGGTTTATTGAGGTGAGGCTTTGCTGCCTTTGTTCTGTGCTCACAATGTAAACAAGCATACTATTTAGTGCCAATTTGCTAAAATAGCTCCCAAGAAAGGTGTGTTAGTGCCTTCCAGAGATAATGTGTGTGAGAGAACCTTTATCCAGACATGGGTAATAGTGATGATAGTAGTAATGAATCAACTATTATATATTAACTATATATATTATATATTAACTAAGGTGTTTTACACTGAAATCTATATGGAATAATGTTACCCAGAGGCTACTCTGTATTTCCCTGACAGGCTATGTTCAAGATATACAATTTAGCATTTGAATTGACTTTATAGTATATTATTTCTGCACATAAGGAGATCAACTATATATGTATATTGTATTTCTATTTGGAAGTCAAGATTTCTTTGCAAAGAAATGGGCAGTGCCTCATGTGAGTTTCTATCCATGAATGAAGTCATGGAACTAATTGCTAAATGCAATAAGGCAACATGCTATGCCTAGTCAGCAGGTGTTGGTACCCTCTCTTCTTTCCAGTGTCCAAATTGCATCAGTCGGTGCCAAGGCAGCTACTAGTACTTCCTGCAAACTAGACATTTGGTAAGTTTACAGAGGGAACAGTTAACCATAGCTGAATACACACATCCTTTGCTTCATCTGCTGGTAAGAGCTGAAAGGGAAATCTATTGTTTGGAGGCAGGAGCAGGAGTGCTACACAAGGGGGCTTCTGGGATAGTTACTCACCAGGGCAATGACGGTGGCACCAGCTCCAGCACAAGCCACAATGAACAGGTGATAGGACATGTAGAACTAGGAAAGAATAGGGTACCATGAACATTTTGTGTGGTGTGAAGGGGTCTTACATGCTGTTTACTCTGCAGGTATTGGTTGCTAGCCTGGGCATAGGCCCAGATGCCCTCGGAGCCCTGGCTCATGTTATAATCACTATGGGAGGCTCAAACATTTCTGATGCTCAGGCTGCACCCCAGAATCACATTGGAATAGCAAAGGTCTGGGCCTCAACCATGGATATAGTGTAGTCCCTGTTCTGAGTCACCAGTCCATGTTATAGCTATACAAACAGACAAGCCAGATAGGGTAAAGGCTGATTGTTTCTATAACTTGGTGTTTTCCAAAACACATCAGTGTTTTCTTAAATATACACACTCCCACCAGTGCACTGAAGACTTTTGTTTCCTAAACAGTTGTAAGCCCACAGCTGATGAATAGCATTAAACAAGTTTGACTTCAGAGCGTTAGGGTATGTTACCAGATAAGGACTTTTAAAAAAAGGCCCTCATAACAAGTTGTTCTGGACATAGAAATGATTAGCTCTGGTCTCCTACTAAAAATCTGACATATACACAAATTTAGGATACTTTATTGTTTTTGTTTGTGGGTATGGATATTTTGTATGCATGTATAATAGTATGTGTACCACATCTGTGCTTGGTATCCTTGAAGGCCAAAAGAGTATGCTTGGTCCCCTAGGACTGGAGTTAACAGATGGTTGTGAGCTGCTATAATAGGTGTTGAGAACTGAACCTGTGTCGATCTGAACAGCACCAAGTATTCTTATATTCTTAACTGCTGGGCCATCTCTCCAGCCCCAGGCTTTAAAAAATGCAATTAACTTCAATTTGTCTGTGACAAGTATTTCTTTTTCGGAAAACATTACTAAAAATCATTTCTCAGATTTTTAGATTTGGGATCACAAACTACTTAAGGATCCTTCCTAAATGGGCTGGGCCATACAAAATGCACATTATTATTATTGTTTTTTGTTGTTGGTGGAAAATAAAGAGTGATGGTTACACAGAGTTAAACAGTTTACACAAAAGATCTTCCTTTCCTGGCACTTTGGCCATCATCTAGAGCCCTGTTTCTCAGCTTAGGTTGTAAGTCACCAAGTGTGAGTGACCAGGACTGTGACTTGTTTACCTCATTCGTGTTGCAGATGTTCTCCAGGGCAGAGCCACAGATTTTGCCTGGGAAAGCGTTCCAGGGAATGATACCTGTGAAATGAACCCCAACAGAATTATGAATACAAACTGTGCTACCCAGTGACTTGGCTTCCATTTAGTTGCTTTAGTTTTGTTGTGGTGTTCTCTCCTACCTGCAACACCAGGGGTTGAATTTAGGGTCCTTGCATGGCTAAGCACACACTCAACCACTTTGCTACAGTCTCAGCCCACCTCATGTTCTCAGTAGACCTTCTCACTTTGGATTCGTTACATTGTTAGCTATGTTCCTTTTCAATCAAGTTATCTGCTGTCTGAATGAAATTCAGGCAATGAGGAACCAAGAATAAGCTCTGTTTGGGCAACAGAGCAAGAGCTAAGTCATTCTAGTCCATGTGAGACTTCAATAGCTGGGCATTTTTTTTTTCCTGTAGACTGTACTTTGTTCAGTGGAGTTCAGTATTTGTAAATGTCAGGTTTTAGTTGTGTAGATAAAGGTTTCACTATGTAGCCCTGGCTGGTCAAGGACTAGCTATGTAGACCTTGTTCTTGAGATCTGCCTGCCTTTATGACTCCTGAATGCTGGGATTAAACGTGTGCATTGCACTGCATAGCCCACATTTTGAATGCTAGATTTTTTTTCTCTAAATAATTTGCAGGGGAACCCTCTCATGAAGCATGATAGTGGTGTTTTAGATCACATGAATCTTAGAGTCTGTGTCCTGACCACAAGAGCACAGGTTGTGTTTTTCTAGCTATAACTCGTGTTCTTTCCGCAGTTGTCCACTGGGTTACCACTCTTCTCTCTCTTTAATGCATGGAAATGTGCTTAAATATAAGCATGACTCAATTTACACTTCTCACAGAAAGTAAGGAAGGGACTTTTGTTAAGTCCTCATTCTCTCCTATCTCTAATGTCAACTCAAGTACTCTCAAAAATAACCAGCCAGGCATATACAGGATTTTAAAACATTATTACCATGGCAACAAGAGTTCTTTGTAAGGAGTACAGAGATTATTTGTACATATTCCTTTATGAAAACTATTTTGAAGCAGGGTCTGAGTCTGCCTAGGCAGGCCAGGAACTGGCAATCTTGTTGCCTCAGCTTCTTGACGCCTATGATTATAGATGTGCCACCGTGCCCAGCCCGAGGCCCCTTTCAATCTGTTTTAAGGCTGAACCTTTGTGAGAAGAGATCTGCTGTGGGCATTTTAGGCAGGCTTTATACAATGCTATAAGATAAGATGTTGGGAATAAGCTACATAAGAAAATCTGTGTAAAAATGAAAGAGCCATCTTTGTCCAGGACACATTCCGAATTCATTTCTAATGGAAAGCTTTCTTCCTCCCTGTTTTCTGGCAAGAACCCATTTCCTACTATTCTAGCTAGAGCAGTAATTACACTCCCTTTTTAGCATGTGGCCTTCCCTCAACAAGGGAGGCAATTTCCACCCAAATTAATTGGTTAGAAGCCCCAGTGGCTTCTTACAGGAACTGTGCTTTGAGGGTCCCATTTGTGAGAAAAAAAATACATATGAGCCAGCTTTTGACTACTGAAGACTGCTCTGCCAGAGTCCATCATAGTGACTTTGAAATACATCTGCATTTTATGTTTTTTTCAGTAAAGATAAGTTGAAGTAATTAGTCATTTAAAGAAGGTTCCCTTAAAAGAACCAGGCATACAAACGTATTAGGTGAAAAGTCAGCATGTAACCGACAAGATCTAGGCATGGGGAGCATATGCCAGGATCCCAGAACTCAAGAGACTGAAGTGGGGCTATGAGTTCAAGGCCAGCTGGCCAGCCTGGACTACCTAGTGAGATAAAAACAAAGAAAAAAGAGGGAAAAAAGAAAAACTAAAAATATATATAAATTTTTACAGTGGGTATCAAAATTTTTTAATTGAACTTCATTATAAAGTAATTTTGCAGCCTGGCGTTGGTGGCAGACGCCTTTAATGCCAGCACTCGGGAGGCAGAGGCAGGGGGCTCTCTGTGAGTTTGAGGCCAGCTTGGTCTACAGAGCAATTTCCAGGACAACCTCCAAAGCAATACAGAGAAATCCTGTCTTGAAAAACTCCCCCCACCAAAAAAGTAGTTTTGCATTATAAAAGACTTATTTTTTAAACCATCTACCTAACTTGAAAACTATTTTTACAAATCTCAGATAACATCCTCTAGCAAGTATAAAGGTCCAGGAATGCTTGCCTCCAGAAAATAGAGAAGAGTGTGAACTATTCATGAAGAAGGCAGGGAATGAGTTATGATGGTTAAAAAGAGGTCTATGTGTTAATTACATCCCAGGCATAGGCCCAAGACAATGAAGGAGTGATGGGGACATGATTGAAAGGAGGTACCATATTGCCGGACATCCACACAGATCTGCTCAACACCCGAGGTCCCGTTGGTTTGTGGGGATTTGATGACTTCACAGGTTGACCATATGTTGTAGAACATAAACACAGGCACCGCAGAGAAGCCGAACACACCCAGCCAGGCCACTCCCAGCACATATGTGAGGAAAACGAACTAGGGCAGAAAACGAGAGAAGGGAAAAAGAATCTCACTGAAATGGGCAGGTTCATCTCAGGGAAAGGGCTGCCCTTTTATGCCCAGTATGGGATCCATGGGATACAGGATGAATCCAGCAACCTGACCTGGCTGCAACTGAGGAAGAAACATCTGCTCAGCATAGAGGAGCAGGAGAGGCATTGCTGTCATGGGCCATGAGGACAACTTGTCTTGCTGTTTCTCAGGTACTTTCCACTTTTTTGGACAGTGTTGTCTTAGTGTGTTCTGGAACAGACTAAGTAGGATAGACTACCAGGGATCCTCTTGTCTCTGCCTTCCCAGTGGTAGGATTCCAAGTTGGTCCACCATGCCTGCATTTTTTTATATTGAGTTCTGAGCATCAGATTCAAGACCACCCCGTTGAGCCATGTCTCCTGACCCTCATATTCCTCTTTTAACCATCAAAGTCATGAGAACCCAAGAGATGGGTGTCCTTACTCATTCAACTAATTAGTTACAGGGCCTGAATGAAGATTGCATTTTGTTGTTGTTATTGTTGTTTGTTTTTGTTTTGTGTTTGTACTGGGAATTGAATCTAGGGCATTGTACATGCTAGGCAAGTGCTCTGCCACTGAGCTAAACACCTGGTTCCCTTTTTATATTTTTATTTTGAAAAGTGATCTCACTAAGTTGCTTAAACTTTTGATTTTCCTACCTCAACCTTGCATAAAGCTGGGCTCACAGGCCAGCACACTTGGGCCAGCCTATGAGATATTCTTTCTAAACATCAGCTCCAAAAACTCCCAGTATCCTACTAAACATGAGCTAGGTCCAGAATGTCTTTACAGGTCACTGAATCATAACATCGTGTTGCTTTCTCAGCACTTCCCTTTGTTTTACCTTGCATGTGGGTATGGAAAAATAGCAACTGCTACAGGAAGCCTTTTCTCAAAAGGAACTCTGCAAGTTTCCTGGTCCAGGGAACTTACTGGAAGCATTAGATACTTGAACCTTGACCAAAAGTTTGTCATGAGCATGATGAATCTGTTAAGAGTCCCATTTTCCTCTTCTATTTCATCTTCACCTAACTTCATGCAATAGGGGGAGAATGACCTGGACATCAGGTTCAAACTGATGCCCCTTATTGGTCAGCCTGGGAAACTGCAGATAACAGGGTACTGTCCTGTTCTTGTAAGGGCATTCCCAATGTCTGAAGCTCCTGTATTGCTAAAATTTCCCACCTCTTCTTCCTCCCCAAGGCTTCCAAGCTGGCCGTATCAACGTTTTCTCTTTCTTTCTGTAACCATAGAAAACTGACGCCCCTGATGGGCTTTCTAATAACACCAAAGGGACTTGAGAAGGGGCTGATGTTCCTTGGACTAGGTGAGCATTTACTTCCCATGGAGGGGTCAGGTCCCAGAGGTCAGACCGGTGCTGGGTAGATAGCACCCTCTGGAAGCTGCTCCTTCCACCATGATGAATATGGTGTTCAGAGCCTTGCTCAGCAGCCTCCTCACCCCGGGCAAGTAGGTGTTTGTTTCCCAAGGCCTTCCTCAACACAGAGCAGTCGTCTCCTCACCTCACATCGGCATGCTGCTGCAGAGCCACCCACCCTGCACTTTTTTGCCCAGTCAGTCTAACCTTTCAAAACCAGAGTGGGGACCAGTGAGATGGCACTTACTACCAAGCCTGAGGAGGACCTATTCCATCCCGAGAATGTTCAAGGTAGGAGGACAGAACTGATTGCTGCAAATGGTCCTCTGCCATCCATACATGCATCATGACATGTATGCTATATATCAAGCTATTATGGTCCTCCCCCCACTAAATAAATATAAACATTTTTTAAAGTCCAAGTGGGGCTGGGTAAAGTACTTACTGCTACAAGCATGAGGGCCTGAGTTCCATACCTAGAATCCATATAGAAAGCAGAGTGGGGTTGTACACACCTGTAATCCCAGTGCTGGGTAGGCAGAGAAAGGCACACTCCTGGAGTTCACAACCTACCCAGTGTGGTTCAATCAGCAAGTCCCAGGTCCCAGACCAGCCAAAAGAGATGCTGGTGTGAGACAACGGGCATATGGTCCTTAACAGGAGTGGTGGCCACAGTCCTATCTCCTTCCAGTAACACTGTTCATGGCCTTGTCTTATGCTGAGGGAAGTGAGGCCTGGCCAGTCCCCGTGGGAGGACAGTGGTACAAAAGACAGCAGGAGCCTGAGGTACAACTATTACAACTGTGGTGCCATTTGGACAGAACTAGCAGAATGGAGGTCAGGGCAAGGTTGTAGGCATTTTCAGGTACCATGTGCCACAGCCTTCAGGATGTGGGCTCCTATAGTGAGGAGGCCATTAATGGGAGGGATGACATACAGACCGGACCTGATACATCAAATGATCTGGAACTTCGCAGGCATCTCCTTGGCTACTTCTTTCTTGAACTTTCAGAGACATCATATGTCTCTAGATGGCTCTGAACCTCCCCAGCATACAATGATGTACCTCTGGACTCCTGCACAAACCTTGGTGGAAACTTCCTTATGGTTTTACTGTTAGACAGGTGACAACCAGTCATCTCAGCCCAGAGGATTCTCAGAAACCACAGCCCCTAGCTTGATGTGACACCCTAGCTAACTGCATGTGGTCTTCCAAGGCTGTATTAAGGCCCCATGGGTCATACTGAATCCACCAATTTCTCCACCCCTAATGGCACACAGCTCCTCAACGCAGTACTGGAGCCATGCTTGTCTCTCATTGTCCCACCCATGACCATGCCCAGAGGTCCTCCTCTACTCCACTGCCTGGGCTCAGGTGGCATCTCCACAGTCTGTCTCACTTGAGTCCTGAGACAGTGTCTTGCAATCTCACTTCTTCAAATTCATCCTCCATAGCCCTGAATGACTGGCCAGATCTTACACTACTACCCCACTTGTCTTTGCCTCTGCCTCTGCCTCCCGAGTGCTGGGATTAAAGGCGTGGGCCACCAACGTCCAGCAAGACAGTTTTTAAAAAATTATTAGTAGTAGTTTTTTCTTTTTTTGGTGTATTTCGAGACAGGGTTTCTCTGTGTAGCTTTGAAGTCTATCCTGGCACTTGCTCTGGAGACCAGGCTGGCCTTGAACTCACAGAGATCAGCCTGCCTCTGCCTCCCGAGTGGTGGGATTAAAGGCATGCGCCACCATGCGCCACCAACACCCGGCTGCAATGCCATTCTTAACCTGAGAATGGCATTATCTTGATTGGGTCCCTACCCCTCCTCCCAGAAGTGTTCTCCCCCCTCACCTCCATTCTTCCTGTTCAGCACATTCACGTGACTAGACTGATTTTCTGGGCCTCCCCTGCTCACACTGGTTCCTCTTTCCAGTCTCATGTGAAGCAATTTCCTCTGTTTTGGTCCGGGATAAAGCCCTTCCTGATTATGTACTTCAGTGTCCCTGTCCCTTGGCCTGGTGCCACTCGTTCCCACCAGCATCATAACACTGCCACCCTCCACTCTACCCCTTTGTCTGTGCAGCCAAGGACACAAAATCCCAGAACCAGGCAGAGCAGCAGCTGGGACAGCCTCCATCTCCATAATTTTCCCAGGCCTTTCTCAGGATGGTATACTTCTGCCAAAGTCAGGATTGGATTTACCTTGATCATTTTAAAATTTCGATTACTGTGTGAGTATTGTGTATACAGGTGTATGGGTATCACAGCACTCCTGCAAAGGTCAAAGGCTAGCCTTCAGGGAGTTGGTTTTTCTCACATTGTGAGTTCTCAGGTTTGAACTCAGGTTGTATAGTATGTATGGTGAGCATTTTCACTCACGGAGCTATCTCACCAGCCCCACATTTACCTTAAGAAACTCGATATAATAGTGCTTATAATATTCTTCATGACCAGGTTCAGACCACCAAGTCATCGAGGGCACAATTCCACTCCCAATAGCATGCCTCCTTTACAAAAACTGTTGTAAACAGTGGACTCTCCTGGTGCTGGAGAGTCTTTGCTCTCCTTCCTGGTACTGTCTTCTACCTCCTCTGCAGTGTGGTGAAGTCACAGCTATGCAGTAGGAAGCATCATTTCCTCCTGGGAGGGCCACAGCGTGCCTTATGTTTCTTTTTCAGCATTAGTACTTTTCTCAGACTTCCAAGTATTTTCTCTACATCTGATCATTCTTCCAATGAATAGCAACATGTCCAGCTGCCTGTGAAACTTTTGACAGGGATATATCATATACAGTAGCTGTATAAGTTTTGGGATGTAGCTCACTGGTACAGTACCTACCTAGGATGCAGAAGGTCCTGGTTATTTCCCAGTGTTAAATACTCATGCATATGTACTATATGTCATGTTTCCCTTTTGTGATGAAGCAGCCTTTAACTATGTCTTTGAAGATTTATCTTCCTCTGGAACAGAGCCCAGCAAAAGGGAGACATTTGACTTAATACTATCAGTCACAAATTTTATCAACAACACAAAGGTTTTCAAATTCCTCTGGCCATGTTGGTAAGAACAGTATTTGTGTCATGGAATATCTCCTAGTTTCACCTAGTAGAAAGAAACCCAGCCACACATGGCTCTGCTGAACACCAGAGTTTAGTACTCACCATGCCACTGATGCATCGGCCACAGGCAGTTGTTTTAAACTCACCGTGCAGCTCTTTCACTGCACTTGTGGTGTAAAAGCCTTCTGCCAACAGAATGATACCATACAAGAAGAAGAAGGATGCAATTCCATAGATGACATACTGCATCAGTTGGATCCTGTGAAAAGAAGATGGCTGCAAATGTGAGCGGCACTGTGGAATGGGGACACAAGGCACCCTTACTGTGGCATCTCTCGTGGCCTCATCAGGCTCACAGGGCAGCCCCTGGGGACATTGCTGCCCACTCGAGGAGCCCAGGCCTTCTTATGTTAGGACTGTGGGTGAGGTAGACAACCTTCTCAAGCAAGAGTTTTCTTTGATCAAGTCTTGTACAATGGAAGTTCATATTTCCATTTTACATGTAGCACAGGCACTGAGGAGTCAAGCTACCAACCCAAAGCTACACAGTGTCACAGTAGGCATTTGAACCCTGGTTCAATAGACAGCATGCTTTTTCCAGCATGTCAAAATGCTTCCCAACCAGGCTTGGTGGTTGATGCTATCACTTAAGTCAGCCCTAAGGGTATCTTTAAGGAGAAATTTGTGCAGATTCTTGTTACACAAATGATGGGATTGTCAACTTCCATGTAAGTTACAGAAAGTTCATTCACAACTAAGTTTGTCCCTTAAAAGCAGATCATCAGGAAATGGCTTACCAGTAAAATCATCTGGGTTGTTTGAGAAAATACCAGTACCTGGATAATGCCTCCAAGAGATTTAGTTAACTGGTCTGTAGTGAAGCATGGACATATTGTAAACTTTCTTGGAAGTTTGAGAGCCATGGATTAAGATCACTAGCTAATGGAGTTAATACACATTTTCTGTTATTTCTTTTCTGCAATTTTTTTTGTCTTTTTTTCAAAGAAAAGACAGGGTGCCATGTATACTGGATTGGCTTTGAACTTGCTATATAACTGATGTGAACAAAAGGTCCCAGAAAGAAACCACACTTTCAAACTGAAATTTCTAGAAGGCCTGTGAACTGGTTAGTACTTAATGACTGTGGACAGGTCCAGAGCCAAATTACAATTTAGCTTGGGCTATCTTTAACCCCCTAAATAGCCACTCTTTGTCCACCTCTGTGTCAGACCTAACATCCTATGACTAACAGATAAAAAAATCCCTGGAATGTATTAACTTAGTAGAGAATTACCTTCCACCAACCAAAAGCTACAAGTATCATCAGATATATCTGAGGCCTTCAACAAAGGTTTCCTGCTTTGCTGTAACCCCCCTCTCTGATGGTTCCATCAGTGTATTTGAAAAATGTCTTGATTTATGGCCTTCTTTATTGTTACTGTAAAAACATGAAAGTGGTCTCATTTTGGAACATGGAATTTGAGGTGACCTAAATCTGTGTTCCTGAGCCATGGTCACTCTCATCTGGCTCTAATACATATTTTCACATCAACACTGATGGCTTTCAACTTCTTGCCTCTACCCGCTTGAGCACTGGGGCACCTACAGGTGAGTATACCAGTTTATGCAGTGCTTCGAATCTAACCCAGAGCTTCATACATATTAGGTAAGCATGCTCCTGATCAGGCTATGTCCCCAGCCCTCTGCCCATACATTTGTACCGGTTGATTCTCCAGTACAGCCTCCACATTCTTGCTCATCTCTTTAGATGTCATTTGTGAACAGATTTTAAAATGTGGGTTTTGTCAGGCATGGTAATTGACACCTGCAATCCCAGCATTTGGGAGGCAGAAGCAGGAGGATCATCTCAAGTCCAAGGACAGCCAGGGCCATAGCAAGACCCTTAGCATCCAAACCAAAAGCCATTTCACCATGATTCCACAAATGGCCATTTATGCCTTTTCTACTCTGATAGTGATGTTTCTTTACAATTACAACCCATAAACACTGAAACTTCAGAACTACAACAAAAAGGCCCAAAGAATTGAGCAAAGGGAAGCTGCTTGAAGCAAGTACATATGGCCACAAGTGGGGCTTGCAGTTAGAAGATCAGGCTTGAGAACTGTTGAGCTGCCAGTGAGAATCATTCCACAGTAGGAAGACAGAGGGCCAGGGCTTTGATTCCAGAGCTTCCTCTTTGCTGCACTGGGGTGCCCTGGGCTTAGTTCTCCTGCCAGAAGAATTAATGTGGAAATACTGTTATTGAGGTAGAAATACTGCTCCTGTAGACTTAGACTTGCATGAGTCCTCCACAGAGGATCAATTCTAGGGGATAAACTAGAGGATTCTTGTTACACGGGAACAATGATAACTGTCTGGTAAGGTGCTCTACAGCATCAATCTGTCACCATGTTAGAGTCCCCACATCTACCACTACTGTGTGGAGTATTTACACCTGGTCATATGCAAGTGAGATTCCACCCTGGGCCTTAAATACCCACTACATTTTTGGCCTTTTTCTCTTTTGTTGTATCATGGGCTCCTCCCAGCCCCATTTCTTTTCTATTTTACGAAACAGGGTCTCATATCCAAGACTGGCCTCAAATTTGCTATGACTTTGAACTTTGAATATTTAAAAATTATTCTCTGATAATTTCCTGTGTTTATATCCTTGTGGATTTTTTTCTATCTGAATATAGCAAGCTTTAATCAAAGGTGTTGATTTCCTGCTGAAGGACTGGGTAGTGTGTGTGTGTGTGTGTGTGTGTGTGTGTGTGTGTGTGTGTGTAAGAGAGAGAGAGAGAGAGAGAGAGAGAGAGAGAGAGAGAGACCACTGAGGTGGTTGCATCTTTAATACATTTGTAAAGGGAAGGGGATACTCACACTTCACTCAGCAAGGCGTGGTCACTGGTGTTGGTAGAGAAGTGTTGCTCAAGAATTGCCACGGAGCCTGCGAGAGCCACATGCCCACAGCCACAGAATAAGGCGACTCCTGAGAAGCACAGGATGGTGGCCACCAGGGAGGCATAGGGAACTCCTCCCAGACACTTGATGCAGCATTCAAAGCAGCCTAGACCAAAGGAGAAAAAGGTGGCCATGACGGGTGGTAATGCCTCTGGTGTTCATGAACACTATCGTTAGCACATAAATTTCTACTCCATCGCTTTTCTCAGCTCTATGTGAACATTCCAAGGACCACAGGGGGAGTTCCCACGGTCTCACATTCTGTGAGTGAGGACCCTGGCACTCCTAAAGGGAGTGGAGCTATAATCCAGTCTCCAAAGGTAGTGAGTGACAGCCATCAACTGTCAATTATGAGATATAACTTAAGACAAGAGCTTCCTGACTGATTGTGAGTCAGAGGGTACCTGCCCAAGTGACAATAAGGAACACTCATTCCACTTATAAAGGCAAAGGGGAGGACTGCAGAGCCATTGTGGCTCCATGAACAAAAGCCACAGTCAACTTTCCTCTAAACCCAGCCTTCTGGGGTTTCAAATATATCTACTTCCATAGCACCCGATGGCTTTCCCCAAGCCTTCGATGTCCTGGGAGGCTGGAAGAATCCAATGTGGTAATTAGACTGTTGCCAGGTTTGGAAAAACATGGAGGGGACCATTTTGGAAAGTGCCACTAAGGTACTGAAGTACCAAGTTACCAACATCCACCCAAGTGGGTCCGCCCAAGTTTGCTTCAAAATAACAGAAATTATCTCAGGTGTTTAATATAAGTTCTCCTCTCCAACCTGGGAAGCACAAGCAATTCATTTACAGTCCTCCTCCTCCCTCCTCCTCCTCCTCCTCCTCCTCCTCCTCCTCCTCCTCTTCCTCCCCAGTTTCCATCTTTATACACATGCCACATGCTCAGAGTCAGAACCCAAACCCAGTAGGTGATATTTAAGTAGTTGAAGGGGAAAAAGAAACAAGAGGGGAGGAAAAGGACAAAATGAGACTCCATGAAGTGAAATGAAGGAGACAGAGCCAGACTTCACGCTTGGTATAGAGAAGATGAGACTTCTATCTACCTTTTAAAAAGGATTTATTTTTTATTATTTTATGTGTATGAGTGTTTTGCCTGCGCATATGTACATCTGCGCACTACATGCATGCCTCATGCTGGAGGAGGTGGTGAGCCTCCTTGCAGGTTCTGGGAATTGAACCCAGGCCCTTTGCAGCAAGAAGTGCTCTTAACCAATGGGCAAACTATCCAGTCCCTTTATCTACTTTTTAAAGAAACTTTTCCTTGAAATGTCCATAAAGGCCTGCCTGATCTCCACAGCCAGGTGACATTTTTAGTATAGAGACATTTATCATCCAGTTATCACAGTGCTGGCCTTGAGGATAATGTATGTATCTCTCCTGACTTCCCATCCATGTTTATAATATCCAGACCCTCCAGTAAATGGCCTGTCAGGGAAAATCCAACTTTAAATGCATTAACATGCTTAACAGCAATCAAGGGCACTTCATTAGCTTGGGGTAAGCACGCTAAGCTACTTAAAAGGCTTTCCCTCAAATGGTCTTCATAGGATTCAGGGATTGTAAACCCAGCAGAACAAAGCAGTGATGAAGTCTTCTCAGATGAGCATACCATGTGAAGGTAACACTCATGTCAGTCTACCACAGAAAGTGACTGGATTCTCTGCTTTCTGAAACTGCTCTTTAGCTCATTAGAAAATGCAAAACGTCAGGGTTTCTCAAGAAGCCTGTGCATCCTCCTATTTCAAAAAGATGACCACCTTTATTCAGGAAGGTCTAAGTCACTGAAACAGATGTGTAAAACCCCATAAAACAGAACCAGTGCACAATATGGTTCCAAGTTCATTAGCAATTTAATTCCTTAAAGAGATCTGGACACTTGAGATTTGTGAACACAGATGTTGGAGCTCAGGGTTTTCTTTTGCTTTGGCTACATGGCTTTCTGGAGACTCGGTAGAAGGAATGCAAGTAAAGTCCAGATTCTCTCCAGGCTCCTAACCTAAGAGAATCCAACATCCTTGGGTTTGATCTGTCCCAAAAGATAACGAAAAGATAGAAAGCTAGATTGGTGTGTTTTGGATCATTATTGACCTCCTATTCACAGTTTCTGTGATAATATGAAGAACAAGATGGATGCTTGCTGTTGTATCTGATCTTTATTAAACATCTGTGTGGCTCCAGAACTGTGCCATCTGATCAAGTAGTCACTGGCACATGTGGCTATTGAAATTTAAGTTATTTAAGAGGAAGTAAAAAGAAAACTTCATTTCCGCAGTAACACTGGCTATGTTCCCTGGGTAACCACCAGAGCTAGTGGCAGTCATAATGGATGCTGCACATAAACAATGTTTCATTATCACAAAATTCAAACTTACCATTTATTTGCTTTTCTATAATATGAACGGGGTTCTTACTGAATCCAATGAAATCACCTTGGATTTCATTCACTAGGTACTTGTCAAGCATTGTGCTTAGCACTAGGTACATGCATCCGAAATAAGATACTTTCACCTTCAAGATCAGTCTGATGCTGCATCAAAGAATAGTCTTTGCTCAAGCATGTCCAGTTGTGTTAACACTGCAACACAACACCGTCATATACAAAGCTCACGCTCAAGAACTGCACAATAGAATCACAAAATCAAATTTTAAAAGCCCTCATGTTTTAAGTAACTTTTATTATTTTGTGTTGAACCACACTCATGGCTATCCAGTGGTGCACAGCCATATCTGGTTACATGATGAGGGTTAGGGTACAGAGTGTATGAAACAATATACATTTAAAGGTATTAGACAACAGGCTATGAAGAACTACCCTTGGCTAATGATATAATTACTAAATCATGTCGTAGCAGCAGCTATGCTAGTGTAAGTCTATGTGAAGGCACAGCTTGGCTTTCATGCCCCTTTCCTTAACCAATATTACAAGTGTTGGGGTCTTTTGGGAGATAGTTTTATTTATTGGAGCTTCTATGAGGCAGGGTTCTGGACCAGTGGAGGAAAGCAGAGAGGAGGGAGCAGGGGTGCCAGAAGGGAATGTAATTTATACTGGAGATGGGGCAGGAAGGCTTTATGTGATGACCATAATATATAAGCTGATAAAGTACTCATTCATTTTGGGATATTTTGGGTGCATGTGTACTTTTAACAACCGGTATCTTCTCTTGCCATTTGGAGTTAGGGTTAAGTGTTACAGTATAGCACATTCATTCAGCCCTTAACAATGGAGCACATCCTTCCAAATCCACAGTGGTTACTTTGAAAGGCTCTTTTATCCAGAGGGTTAGAGTATTCTGCCTTTTTTCAAAGGAACTATCACAGCTGCTCCCAGGCTCAAAAACACAAGTAGGGTTAAAAGAACAATGCTGTCAAGTCCCAAATTCAACACTGGAGCAAGGCTAATGTTTCTCTGCAATTTCTCACTCCCACAGACACCATATACTGCGTGTTGTTGAAAGCAGGGATTCAGGAAATCACAACCACATCAGTGAATTCCAGTCTTGACCAACATACATTTCCAGCAGATGGTTTCATTTGTGGCTGGGGAGTGTGACTCCTCCAGATTTGAAACCACATACTGATCATCTTCATTCTACACACAAACACAGAAACAACTCTTAAAGACCCTACTAGACAATATGACTAGAAGCTTGTGATATGTAACATGGAGAAAAACTGATTAGGAAATACTACCAGGTGGACCTAGAACTTATTCTAGCTTTGTTGGCCAGCTATCTAAAGAGCTAAAATTCTTTGTGTGGTGAATATCCAGCTACCCACAATTGGATTGCTTTCCACCATTTCTATGTCACCATAGAATCTCTCAACACTCACAGAGGCTCAACTTGGAGATCAGCTACCCTGATACAAGTTCCTTACTGGGCCAGTTCCAGCTGCTTTCTTCTACGACAAGCCAAATTCCACCACAACGAACTCTAACTCCCCCAAAACAGTTCTTGCTTTTGGTCAAAATGGAGAAGAAGCAAAGCCCAAATTTAACTTCCTGCCTGAAACAAGAAAACTGGACAGAGTATATGAAACAATATACATTTAAAGGTATTAGACAACAGGCTATGAAGAACTACCCTTGGCAAATGATATAATTACTAAATCATGTCGAAGCAGCAGCTATGATAGTGTAAGTCTAAGTGAAAGCACAGCTTGGCTTTCATGCCCCTTTCCTTAACCAATATTACAAGTGTTGGGGTCTTTTGGAAGATAGTTTTATTTATTGGAGCTGCTATGAGGCAGGGTTCTGGACCAAAGCAAGGATAGCCAGCCATTCCATGCCTTTCGAAGAGTAGACAGTGTTCAATGAATGCATTTGATATCCTATGCTAGGTGCTGGAGACCCAATGGCCAGCTACGATATGTGTGATCTATACTCTGTTGAAATTTGCAGTGTATGGAGGGTTAGAGGGTGCTTAAACTATTTTAAATTAAAAATTGTAAGGAAAATGAACAGTGGGGACAACTCCGGTTTCAGGAGGGGATTCAGAAAGGTATCCTGAGCTTAAATCTGAGAGTGAATTAGGTCAAGGGAGGAAAAGATGGAGAGGAAGAGTGATCCAGGGAGTGAGAAGAACATGAATGAAAATCCTATGGTGGGAGAGAGCAAGGTACAGTCAAGGGCCACCTGAAGGGTGAAAGGAGGCAGAAACAGTTCAATGAGAAGGTGGAGTGGTGAAACCATGATGGTCTATAGGTGCTTGATCATATAGGGTTTATTAGGTCACTTTACTAATTCTGGAATTTGTTCAAAGACTCCTGCTGTGTACAGTGGCGCACAACTTTAATTGCAGAACTTGAGCGGCAGAGGCAGGTGAATCTCTGTGAGTTCAAAGTCAGCCTGCTCTACAAAGTAAGTTCCAGGCCAGTCAGGGGTTACAGAGTGAGACCTTGTCTAACACCCATCCACCCACCCCACCCTTAGAAAAAGATTCTACTGACTGATAAACTGGTTAGAATTTCCCTGATTGTAGACACTTGGAATGTTACAGGTCCTGAGCCAAATAAGCTTGGTCTATTTTTAGCTCTCTTAACATTAACATTAGCCTCTCACATTAACAGACAATCATTGCCCACTTCTGTG